TGCTACTTCTTTTTCAATTAGACCCTGCACTGAAATTTAAGGGTCAGAATATTGCCTTTCTTTTCATCACTCTGAGCAAATGCGATGAGAAATAGGTACAGAAGTCAAAAGGATGATGGTGAAGTGTCAGCCTTTTTATCAATAAAGCTAGATTATAAAATACGTTTTAGTTTTGCCTTCGCACGAATTGACTACCAGTCCCAGGCAGAGCAGGCGCAGAGCCAGAGGGAGAGAAGAAGGCAGTGCCCTGTGGGAGGGACAGCCTACGGAGGGCAGAGAGAGAGACAGATACCCTGGGCACAGGCTCAGCACACAATCACCTCTCTGACCTTGGAAAGAATGAGTAAAAGGGAGGAGCTGTTTGTCATAACTGGTCCTTTCTGAACACTTGGCAAGTGGCAAGTAAGTACTTTCCCCCCACATCATCTCTCTCAGGAACACTTGTGATTTCTCACCCCTGATTTGTTTCGTCCTCTGCCAATCCACAAGATGCCTTCCTCCTGCTCACCACTACCTGTTACTCCTCTAAAAAATCTGTTCACTCTTCAATTTCTATATGATGTCCCCCAAGAGAAATAACTTGACTTACCATAAAGATTTTTACCCCTCCTCAGAATGTATCTAACTATTTTATAATATAGGCATTTTTCACTTTGCATAATCGTCCTAAACCAACAAAATTTGTTATAAAATGATTCTTTCTGAAAAGCAAGTACACACTTTTTTTTTTCCTGACAAAGGGCCTACTCTGTTTTTTTCAAATCAGAGGTGGGAGGGAGAGGGAAAGAAACTCAATCAAGATATAAATATAATTGAGAGGCTAAGGGAAGAAGGGGTGAGAAGGAGACAGAAGTGGGTGTAATTTAGAATAGTTTTCCAGGCATCATCCCATTAGACACTGAAGCAGATTTTGTGTTGCTTGGGACAGGAAAAGTATAATCAATATTGCTTCAGTACTGCTATTTTTGAACAAGTATCCAATCATTCTTATGTATTAAAAAATCTGAAGACTGCTCTGTAGGCCCTTAACAAATAATGCAGGAGACATTTCCATGTGGTACTTTATGAAAAAGTTTGGAAAATAATACTTCAAGAGAAGTTATAGCAGAGTAGGGTACTGGAAATTCTGGCAGGTGAATTATTTGCTTTATTCTGCTGGACTCACTACTTGCCCTAAAGTATCAATAATCACAAAAGCCTTACAATAAGTTTGTTGTAGTTTGTTTGACAAATATGAAACTTAAAAAGGAAAATTTTTTATTGCTAGCACAATGTATTAACATTCATCCCTGGGACAAGTGGTTGTGAGACAATCAACCACAAATAATATGCAAATTCACATATAAGCTTGACTCTTTTCATCCCAAACCACGTTGGTTTAATTAAAGCCTCATGCCCTCTATTAATGGTGTTTACAAAAATCTGCTAATCCTGGTGAAATGCTTTTAAAACTGGACTTCGGTTGGCAATAACCGTGAACTTAAGGAAAGGAGACATTAGGTGCGTAAGTATCCAGAACAGCTGACCAGAGCATACCAATTCTCTAAACTTGGGGGAGGAACTGCTTCTGAATGTGAAGTTGTGACTTAATTCATGCATTTCTTAAGTATGGAATTCTAAGTGAGCATTTGTGAAGCAAAGCAAACCTTTACTAATGAATCTTCAGGGACCAGTCAGCATAGTTTGTTAAGTTGGAATACTGATTAGGTGTAGGCAATAGTCTAAATCAACCTAATTGCTTGTTAGTTTGACCAATTATAGGTGCCCAATAATTGTCTGTATAAATTCAATAATTCTACATCCAGGGGGAATATTCCTGACACGAGTGGCTGAATTGAAAAAATATAGGCTGTTAGTCATGAATAAATTGTGCATTAACTGGGGCATTTCAACCTGACTTCTGCAAGGCCAACGTCACAACAGTGATGGTTTATGCACATTCCTCACCTTTGCTAAGTCCTATGCAGTGATATTTCCAAATGAACTTAGAATATTCTGAAGCTTTTCCATACACGTGCAACATAATGAAAAGTACAAGAGTCTTAGAGTGAAATACCTGAGTTGTAAACCAGTCCAAGACCACCAAAATGTACATGAGAGCTTCCATGGCCAAAAGGAATGACTGAAGTGAGAAGAGCTTGAAATGTATGAGGAACAGCAAAGAGGCCAATATAGCTGGAGAGAGAGAAGAACAGCAGGAGCTGAGATGGCTGGAGAGGCTCGGAGCTGGGGCAGCTGAAGCGCTGCAGCTCATACAGCTTTGGATCTTATTCTAAGCATAATGGGAAGACATTTAGGCAGAGGAGGGTCACAACGAGATTTATACTTTTAAAGGCTCTCTGTGGATGGTACTGAGAATGGACTTTATGGGGGCAAGAACAGAATCAAAGAAGTCCACTTAGGAGGCATTTTTTATTTTCATCCAACGATCTAAATAAGAGAAGACAGCTTGAATGAGGGTGGAGGTGTTGAAGTAATAAGAAGTTGCATAAAGGAGACGCTTGAACGTTAGAGTTCACTGTATTTTCTGATGGTTTGGAAGTGGGGTCAGAAAGCAAAAGACAGATGAGCACTAAGCATATGGTGGCACCAGTTACTGAGCTGGGAAAAATCATAGTAAAAGGAGGTTCGGGGGGATCAGGAGTTTGGTTTGGGACTTACTGAGTTTTAGATGCCAATTAGCCGTCCAAGTCAAGTTGTCAGATAGGCTGTTAGGTGCATTAAGTCTGAAGTTCAGGAACAGTTTGGGCTAGAGGCAAAATATTCTGTTGTAGATAGAACAATGCCCCTACCCCAAGATGTCTATGTCTTAATCCCCAGAATCTGTCAGTATATTATGTTACATGGCAACAGGGAATTAAAGTAACAAACCAGCTGACCTTAAAAAAACAGATCCTGGTTATCTGGGTGGAGCCAGTTTAATCAAAGGAGTTCTTAAGCAGGGAAGAGTGAGGCAGAGAACTCAGAACCAGAAAGATGGTATCACGAAATAGATTCAACAGGCCCATGCTGGCTTTGAAGATGGTAAACGGAACCCACGATAAGGAATGCAGGCAGTGTTTAGAAGCTGGAAAAGACAAGGAAGCAGATTCTTCTTGATAACCTCCAGAAAATAACATAGCCCTGCCAACACCTTGACTTTAGCCAAGGGTGACTCATTTTAGACTTCTAGCCTACAGAATGATAAGATAATAAACTTGTGTTGCTTTAGGCCACTAAGTCTGTGGTAATTTGAGCAGCAGTAGGAAACTAATATTAATCATGATATCACTGAAACACGTTTTTTCTTCAGTGTATCCTATCTTGGTAAATGGCATGAGAATCACCTATTTGTTCAAGGCAGAAGTATGCACATTCTTAGTTCCTTCCTCTCCTCATGCTCCCAATCCAGTCACCATCAACTCGTGTAGATTCTACTTACTAAATATTTATTCAAAGTCACCCACTGTACTATTTCTCTAATACAGATGATCATCATCATTATCTCCTCCCTTTGGGAGGGAAGAAGGAGACAGTACAAACCCATCATTTTCCGTTTGGCAGCCTTCTAAACTGAGTATTTCTGGTAATACTCCTTCCTCCTAAAACTCTTCAGTAGCTCACTATTTTACTCAGAACTAAGTCCAAACTACATGACATATCTTAAAAGGTCCTACAGGGTTTTCCCTCTGTCTTCAGACTTACTTCCTGACACCCTCACACTAAACTTCAAGTATATGGAGGCCTCCTACTTCATTCAGATGTGGGCACTGGCCTTTTTTGTCCCATGACCCCGATATGGAAAAGGCTCCAATGTTCAGCACCATCCCTCCTTCACCACCAGGGACTAACTTACTATTTTCAGATTGTCCCTGATCTCCTAAACTGTTAACACCTTGATATTAGGACTTTGAACTTTTGCTTCAATACACTTCTCACACTAGTTAGCATTGTTTGTCCTACAAGAACAAGGCTTTTGCCTCACTTACTCACTACTCTATCTCCATTCCTAATACCAAACACATAGTAGGTGCTCAGCAAGTATCTGTCAAATGCTGATCACAAGAAACTATGAATCACTATCTTTAAAATCTCTACAATGACTTCTACATCATTTTTGGTAACCATTTCCTGTAAAGTCCTTACTAATGAAGTGTTTATAATTTTGTGCCTATACCACTTTTCAACTATTGACCCACACACACCCTTTAGAGATGGGCAGTAAGAGGTAGGTGGGAGAATGGATTCAAACTTACATTTATAATGTTATTCAACGAGTAATTTACTGAGCACCTTCAACGTGCCAATCACTAAGTGTTGAAAACACAGTTAAGTGAATAAAGTAGACATAGTCTCTGG